ACCAACACTTCCTGAGGGGACCCGGCGCGCTCCAAAACCCACCCCCTAAATTAATGTGGTTATATACATACACATCTGGGCCAACCGGAGCTCCAGCGGGTTGTCAAGGAGAGAAAGATCCTCCCTTTTACCTCATGGCCAAGATGGAGAGCTTCCTTGTTCTCTTTCCCTCCTTTACCCTTTTATTGTTCGTTTTAATGTTGGTAGGGGGGGGGGTTATGGCTGGCTCTGTTATGGCAGGCACCTTTTCAGCATCCGTTGAGGCAAAAGCCACCTGGGTTATGTAATAGGATTATTGTCAGCTCCTACCCATCAAGTTTGAATAATTCATTTTGACAAAACATTAGAGGTGACCAAAAAAAAGAAAAAAGCAGACCCAGTTAATGCTGTCAAATGTTTGGAGCCTTCTGGCTGATGTCAATTACTTTTCAGCCTTTTTTTTTTTCAATTTGGGAAGAAAAAAAGTGACAAAATACTTTTTGTTCCTTGTTAATTCCACCTCATATAACTCAAATATGTGAAGTGTAGTTTTGTTTGTTCTAAGCTGAATCACGCTGGACTAGCTGAGCAGCAGTACAGTGCTTCTCAAGCGGTAGAATGCCTGTTTTTTGTTCTGTAAAAAGAAAAAAAATGACATGGTTCATCATTTCGAGTTTTTTTTTACTCTCAGAATGTGACATTTATCCTGTACAATTCAAAAAAACAAACTCAGTTTGCTAGTCAAAAAAGAAAAGATATCAAACAAAATAAAAAAACTTTAACCTGGTTGCTGGAGTTCATACCTGCCTTCAGTTGTAGAGCACTGAAGAGTTTTTTTTTCTTAAAATAAGTGCATTTTTCTTGTATTGAGGAGGTAAGTGAGACACTTTACCAATGGGAAAAGACAATTCACATTAGAAATTAAAAAAAAAAAAAAACTATTTCATTGTCTTATTTCAATTGTATATTATCTAAATACCTTATTTTAGGAGTAAAAATACTCCTTCCATTGGCAATCATCTTATTTACCTACTCAAATCAAGGGTAAATACACTTCATTTAAGACATTTTGACTTATTTCTAGACAGTTTTTGCAGTGTGAAGAACCAGAAATGCCGTTCAGCTGACCGGCCCATCCTTTAATAAAAAGTGTGTACAGAACCCCGCCATATAAAGGTATCAGTCAGCAGAAGAGCTGCAAGGATTTCCACCGACACCGAAGAATCTCCTGCTACAGAGCATTGGAAAATCATTAAACCCATAGGCAGTGTTGGGAATAAAGCATTAAGTAACTCTTACAGTAACAAGCACTGTATTGTAGCAGCCATTCAAAATGGCCATTCCCAGTCAAACACTAGCCGAATGGCAGCAAACTCACCTGCAACTCCCAGCTAAGTTCCCTCCAACTTCCAGCCACTGGAGTGACCCCCTCTTTCTCCTGGGCGTAAATATTATTTTACTCCATCCTTTCACTGAATTACGAGGTCTGACCAGGAAATGATGCTTCTTTTTAGATCTTAATGTCCACAAATCATGATGGAAAGAATATTTTAGTACAAATATTGATGTTTAAAAAGGAATTGTTAGGGACCAGCCAAGGACCCATCAAGGGAAGTGGGGACACTTTGAATGGCTACTACTGCAACTGATTTGTTTGTAAAAGTGAGTAACGCGTTAGTCATTACTGCTCTTTAGACAGTGGTGTAAGACCATGTGACGGTAAAATTTCAGCATTGAGCACCGAAGGGAGACGATGCCGCAGGGCCAATGGTTCAATGACGGCGTTCCTACAGCGCAGAGCTCACTGAAGGCTAATGTTTCAATGATTTGCTCATTATGTGAGGGAACAAAGACTTTATTAGCATCGGTTAGATGCTGTGATTTAAAGACTGACAGGTTTAATCAACACTTTTGCTTTCTCAGGGCTATAATGATTTTACCTGCATAGTTCAGGGGTTTTTTTTTTTATTCGCAAAAATCCTGGGATTGTTTAGTCCTAGTTTTTTTTTTTTTTCCTGGAGTAGTATTACCTGTTTAATTCTATTTCATAATAAGAATAGCATTATTTTTAATCTTCATACCTTTTTTAGAGCCAATTGAAGGCGGGTGATATGCACAAAAAATAAATGCCCAAACATCGGATTTTTCTTTTCTTATAAATGTGAAACATGATCACATCTACATAATCGTATTGCAATTCGTCAAACCATACACAACAAAAAAGTTTAGATTAATTTTCAATGTTTTATGATGTGTAGACCTTGTATTTCATTAACCTCTATTTATATTTACAATTCCAATAAGAGGAAAAACCCTTAGATCATAAAAAGTAATTGCATGGTTACTTTGGCTAATAAAGAGTTACTTTCACAGTGCAGAACTAGTTTTGGGAGAACTAGTACCTGTAACTACCGGTAGTTACTTTTTTAGGTTGATTGCCCAATACTGCCCATAGAGAAGCATGGTGGTGGCAGGGTCATGTTCTGGGACTTTTTTTGGGGTTTTTTTTTTAGGTCAGTTTTGGCCCCAAAGTCTTCAATTTATTTCGTAGAAAGCTGAAGGTGGTTATAGATAACCTGTTAGTATCACACTGAGTCCAATCCTCCATCCATACGGAGTTGTTTTTGTTTTTATAAATTCCAAGAAAAGAAGAGATCTGAAAGTGGAAAATAATTTTAAAAGTAAAATAAATTTTCACGCTGGTAGCAAAACCTGATGTTAATATTAAAATAAATAAATGGACTATTGAATGGATAAAAGATAAATTGACATTTGGAAAATGATTTTCATGGGAAAGAAGCTCTCAAAAATATGTTTTTAGTCTTAAATATTGTTTTTTTTTTTTTTTTTTCCAGACCGAGAGAAAATATTTCTCTCATAAATAGATTTCTCTCTTCAAAACCTAAGTCAAGATTCAGGATTTTTCTCTCCGTGTGAAAATGTGTCATGCCTGTCTGCTGTCTGTCATGCTTGATCTGAACAGAATTGAAAGCTGAAATCATTTTCAAGATTGCTTTTTTTGCTTGAATTTAATAGAAATACAAATATAACACCATACACCCAGACAGAAAACAACAATATCATTGGGGGGAAATGATTGGCCTGGCCGTTCTTTGTCAGAAATTCAGAGTGGTTACCCAAATATCCAAGTCAGAATAAAGATGGAACTACCCGGTAGTTTTAAAATAGTCCATCATGGTCGCATCCTCCCTCAGGGAAGTTTGTATAAGTACAGAAAAATGTCACTGAAGCAGAAAACTTGTTTGTTTTTTTAGATCCAAAGTCAATGAGCAGTTGAAGTACCTTCCTTTTTTGTTGTTTACAAGTAGTAGGAGGGGATCAAATGAATCACATTAAATAAAAGAGTTCAACCAAAAAGCAAGGCTCTGGTTCACTGATCCAACTTCTTCCTGCTGCTGCTCTCCATTTCAAACAGCTTAATAGCACCAACAGTGTCTCACAGTCGCCACAAACTGGATTGGAAAAGTTCCTCAAAATCCGCTAAAGGATAAGAATATATTTTAGGTCTGTAATGTTACCTTATTATCAGCTCATAGACTAAACCTGCTATTATGTTGAGACATTTCTGGGTTTAAGGCTTCACGAAAAACCACGACTAAGGTCACACATGATCAGTCCACTAATCTGTGTTTCTGTTAGTGCTGTTCAGAGATCTGATTGGAACAGATTTGGTTGTTAAAAGGCTTAAATGAAATGTAAACAAAGAGCTAATTATATAGTTTCATAACCATAGGTTGCAATCAGCAACAGGCTGATTATTATGGCCTACAGTTGCAGGTTTATGGGAACTAATCAGCATTAATATTGTAGAAATAGTTTATGATTTAACTAAAAAAATGCAAATGTTTAGTTCCCCTATAGGTAATTTGAGTTCCTTTGAATGTCTGTTTTGTCTTTGACATCAGTACTATTCTTGTGTGTTTCCATGGATATCAGACCTCTTATCAGTATTGTAATTGACTTGTTACCGGATCCAGACACTCTCAGCCATGGTCCACTTGTTTCCCTGACATTCAAAGGCATTCCAGGAGCTTAGCCTGTTCCTGGGGCCATTTGGTGCATTTCCTAGGATCGTTTTCTGTCCGAATTTTAACCATTTCTCCATAAATTTCAGGTTTAGATAAAGAGAATCAGTAAAGATGAGACAGAGACACATTAAAAAATAAAAAAAACGTCTATTATGAACAAGCAGACACTAAAAACCCCAGTGTAGGTAATTATAGGCAGCGTTAGATAAACATGGAGTGAGAGGGTTTTAAATGAGAACAAAAAAACACCAGCTGAGATGTGATGCCTTAAGATCAACTGCTGTGCTAAATACCTTCTGGAAAAAAAAAAGGTTTATGACTAAGATCAACAAAAGAATGGAGGAGGACCATCTCTTTGTTCTTTTATCTAGAACCAAAAAGAGCAGATAGAACAGATCTTATTTTATTTCACGAGGACCAAATATAGAGGCTGAGATGGATTAAAATCAACCTTCTGGAAAGGCCCTGATCTCAACCTGTTAAATATTTATAGGCCGCTGCTTAAAAGCTGGATCAGCAGCAGGAAAGCAGCCAGTTTAAATAAATTCCTATCGATTCCTCAAGGAACTTCCAGCGATAATCATAAAAGGAGTTTACTGATGCCATAGGAAGCACACATTTCCTCAGACATAGCTTCTTTAAAGAACTGGAATACAACAAAAGAAAACATTTTCAACATTTTATTCAATAAAACAAAACATCCCCAAACCAGTGAAGGTTGTGCTTTTCCTTTCCTGTTTTCATCGTCTCTGCAGACGATATTTGCTAAGTTTTTAAGGTATATTTTAGTTGGCCATGTAAATGATTAACAATAAGCATCACATCCTTATCGGTGTAAAACTATCTCTGTGTTTCATTTCTGTAGTTAACTGGTTGGAGTTGCTTTTCTAGAATGCACTTCGGTCATAGTTACAGATATTTTATTTGTTAAGATCAGTTTAATAATTATCGCTGACTTTTGCAGCTCTTCCTAAAAGAGGATTTAGGATTCAGTACAAGCTGTGGTCATAAAACAAGTCAGAACATGTCTTCTTTTTTAAGCTTGAGGGTTTAACCCTCTGTGACTTTTAAGAAAAAAAAATATAAAACTTCATAGAGTTATTTCTTATTAGTGCAAAACGCGCTTCTGTTACACTTAAACATTCTTCACTCAGACTGTCCCCCTCTTTGGTGGTGGAGTGCAGCAGGCGACAAGGCAGGGCGAGGATACTGCCATCCTCACTTCAAAGCACTGTCACTCCATCAGGGAGAGGAGCTTTCCTTGGCTCCAGGGTCCCTCCATCCTCCGAAAGTCTTCTCCAGGTAGAGGGACACAGCCAGAGTTAGCCGGTCCTGGAGTTTCCCGCCCACGACCTGCACGCCTAGAGGAAGACCTTCCTCATTCAGACCCAGAGGACACTGGGTAACCGGCAGCCCGAGGATGTTCAGAATACCTGAAGAGGGAGAAATATCACATAAAGGGTTGCTCATCTTGAAGAGGATCAATGTGAAAAGTTAAAACCATAAGGATTAGGGCAATATGGAAAGCCCACAAAGTCCAACAATTTTGAAAAGTGTGTTTATGTGGTTAAAGCGTCAGATGGGTGAATTTTTTAAAGCAGAATAAAGCCTCAAAACTAACCAACTTAAAACAAAACTAAACTTTTCTATAGGTGGGTTTATTGTGTTAAAAATAAAGATTATTTAAAACACAGCCTTTTGTTTGAAATCGATGAATATGTTTATGGAAGAAATCCAGAGTTATGAGTGTCACCACTCTAAGACATTATATATAGTTCACATATGTTGAAATGTTATAAATTCTGTATACATTTCATTTAAATATTAGAGCAATGAGCTAATAATAACATTACCTAATGCTCTGCTAAGCTATGCAGGTGCTCAGTCTGCGCTGATGAATCAATGACTACTTTATGCTGAATAACTGAACAGATGTAATCCAGACTAGGGCTGAAATGACTGATCATAATTAATCAACTATTAAAATAATTGTCAACTAATTTGGTAATCCAATGGTCACTCTAAGACAGGCCAATTGTGAAAAAAATAACTACTTACAGTCGCGATTAAGACAAAACTGTAGAAAAAATAACATCATTCCATTCTATCATATATTTATTAATTAATCCATTTTATATATATATATATATCCATTCATCCATTTTACCTGTTTTTTGCTAGTACCAATTGCTATAATATGTGCGATAAAAGCTTTTTTTCTACATTAACTATTTAGGTGTACCTCACTCTAACAAAATTTAAAAAATGTCACCAAAGTGGTTGTTGCCAATGGACCCTTTGGGGCAGGACCACATGTTAGGTTGAACGTAGTTGATTTAGCAGTGGTACGGTCAGGATGTGGCAGCTAGTTTAGCTTAGCTGAGCTTAACCATATTGAAGCATTGATCTTTTCATCCAGAGACGTATGCCTTAATGAGATGGACTTATATCTGACCTGATGACAAAACTCTGTACAAGTGACTTCAGTAAGCCATTATGCCATTTATCTAAAAAAAAATAAAAATAAAAAATAAAAAGTTGATTTCGGGATAGTTGAACTTTAAGCAAGATGGTGCCGTCATGACAAAACTAAAGCATCCTGTCCTTCCCACTTCATCCCAACACATTTTCCCAATACAAAGTGGTGGCATAACAAACATGACATAGAGACTATAAAAATAAAACAAGATTTAACAATCCACATTTCATTGTTTCCCATGATTTTAGAAACACAATGAAGATGAACTGAGAGACAGCGGCTTTAGCTTTCTCTGCTACACCTGAGCGGTAAATCTGGTGTGGTTGATTCTGAGGGGTCAGTTTGCTTACTAACCAGTGTAGGCGAAGTCAAAGGGTCTAAAGAGTGGGTGGTGGTGTTTTGGTGCCACTCTGGGGTGAGACGGGTAAAGCAACACGCCGTCAGTGCCCAGCATTTCATCCAGCTTCCTCTGCAGCTCCTCCTTCTGCTGGATAATGAAAGATGATGGTTTGGTCACCTGGATCATCTCCAGAAGCGCCAACACTAAAAGAGACGACACAAAGCGCACGGCGGAATTCTTAGTAACACCAATAACAACCATGTTAGTGAGCACCAGAACCTTAGCTATTATCTTCTTACTGATAGCAGGCATTGTGTGGTTGGATTTTCCCACCAATCTTTTCAGCAGCTCCCAGAGAGCCCACGCTGGTCGACCCGGTTCCCCCATCAGCTCAGCAAAAGCCGTCGGAGTCTGAAGGAGGAAGATAGAAACATTTACACACACTACTCAAAAAAATTAAAGGAACACTTTGTAATCAGAGTATAGCATCAATTTAATCAAATTTCTGGGATATTGATTTGGTCAGGTAAGTGGCAGGGAGGAGATTCCAAGAGACAGGCAGTTACTCCAGGAGAGCTGGACAGGGCCGTAGAAGGTCTACAACCCATAAGCAGGAGCAGTATCTGTTCCTTTGTGCAAGGAGGAGCAGGAGGAGCACCATCAGAGCCCTACAAAATGACCTCCAGCAGGCCACTGGTGTGAATGTCTCTGACCAAACAATCAGAAACAGACTTCACGAGGGTGGCCTGAGGGCCCGACATCCTCTAGTGGGCCCTGTGCTCATTTCTCGGCACCGTGGAGCTCGATTGGCATTTGCCACAGAACAGCGGAAATTGGCAAGTCCGACACTGGCGCCCTGTGCTTTTCACAGATGTGCTCAGGTTTAACCTGAGCACATGAGACAGACGTGAAAGGGTCTGGAGAGGCCGTGGAAAACGTTATGCTTCCTGTAACATCATTCAGCATGACCAGTTTGGTGGTGAGTCAGTGATGGTCTGGGGAGGCATATCAATGGAGGGAAGCACAGACCAATGTAGGCTAGACAACGGCACCCTGACTGCCATTAGGTGTTGGGATGAAATCCTTGCACCCATTGTCAGACCCTATGCTGGTGCAGTGGGTCCTGGGTTCCTCCTGGTGCACGACAATGCCAGGCCCTCACGTGGTGAGAGTATGCAAGCAGTTCCTGGAGGATGAAGGAATTGATACCATTGATTGGCCCCCATGCTCGCCTGAGCTAAATCCAATAGAACACCTCTGGGACATTATGTTTCGATCCATCCAACGCCGCCAGGTTGCACCTCAGACTGTCCTGGAGCTCAGTGAAGCCCTGGTTCAGATCTGGGAGGATATACCCCATCTGTCGTCTCATTAGGAGCACGCCCCGACATTGTCAGGCATGCATACACGCACGTGGGGGCCATACATATTACTGGATACCATTTTGAGTTGTTGCAACGAAATTTCAGCATAATTGACTTGCGTGCCACATAATTTTTTTACTGTAATTTTTGGGCTGTCTTTGAATTCAGCCCTCTGTAGGTTGATCATTTTCATTTTCTTCAAATGATGGGGCATCCGTTTGTTCCTAACACATAACCTAGTCCATATCAGTATAAATAAATAGCAGGATTTTGATCCCCATTGAGATCTGATGTGTTTTGAAAGTGTTCCTTTAATTTTTTTAGCAGTGTAGAGATATATCTAAATATATATATATCTATATATATATATATATATATATAATTATTATTTATTAAACATATTATATATATAATACATATACAATGTATTTATACTTATACAATAAAATGGGACAAAATTAAAAATAACTTCCAGACACTGTATGCACATTTTTCTACTACAGCAAGTAGTTCACAAACACCTGTGAATGAGTCACAGCATGGATTTAAAAACTTATCAGATTAACTGATGGACTGTGAACTCCACAGAGACGCGTGTGTTTCTGTGGGCCTTCAGAAAGCGGAAACGTTTTACATGGTTGGGTTACATTAAATGACACAGTTACAGTGAGGTTTAGTGGATGTGTCGAACATTTTAAGTCCAAGCTGGTAGGGAAGTAACTTTCTCTAAGGGGTTTAAATGAGACTACCTCATACCCGTGTTTAACTGTGGTATGCAGTATGCTGCCGGCTAAACAGATTAGGTGGCATTTCTGGGTAGCAGACTACAATAGGTGCTGTGACTGAATAAAACTGATTAGCTATACCATAAAAATGCAGATTAACAAACATACAGATAAATATCTGTGTATAATTCATATATGGACGGCTCTATGTATAAAGTTTACAACGTTTTAGGTAAAGTACGACCCTTTTAATTCTTCATCACAACATTCACCTTTTTTCATTCCAATGGATGGATGGAATAAAGAATAGTTAAATTTTCATACTTTTCCAAGCAACTAGGGCTGGATGATTTATCGTTAAAAAAAAAAAAAAAAAGGCTCGCAATCAGAATATTTGGGTTTAAATCAAATGATGACAGACAGGTAAATTTACATTGCAAATTGTGTCATTCCCACAGCACTACTGGAAATTTTTCAGTCATATTGAAGGCCGTCTCCCTCAATGACTGGACCAGGCTGCAGTGTTTTGGCCATAGACTTCATCTGGCAATGGGTGAGCTCCTTTATAAAGTCACAACAGGAACAATAAGGCACTGCATTGCATTTGGAACACCACAGTAATTAGGCCTAGGTTATTACTATAACTACTAAAACTCGTAGTAATCACAATATATTATGATTTTGAACTACCTTTTCAATAGGTTGGTTTTTTGTTAAATATTATTTGGGCAAAAAAAATATTGTGATCTCAATTTTAAGCATGATTCGTATTTTTCCCAGAATCGTGCAGCTCTACTGCCGACACGATCAATAAAAAGGTTTTTCTGTTTTTACATTAAACAACAAACAAACACAGCTATGTGCTCTTCTGTTATCTCTCTTTCATCATTACACAAATAATCTTAATCTAAACATCTGTGTGACTAAGAGCTTCTATTTACTCCACATAAGAGAATCACTGGAGGATCAAAGTAACTCATAATACAGGACGTCCTGTGAGCTGATAAAAACATGCTTCTCAGTGCATCAGGTCCATTATTTTTTCCTAATCTCACTGGTTCAATAATTCAGATAAAAAGCTCAGGATAATAAATGAGGTGCATGAAAAACTAAAAGTCAGATTAAATAAGGTACAAATGAAGCAAAAAAAGAGAAAAGGAACTCCATCATCTTTCCTTAATACACCTCTTCGCATCCAAATAGCCACCAAAAGGAGCTTTATTTGATAAGAGACACCTTTTATTCCTCGGTTTCAGAAGGATCAAATTCTAGCAGAAGGGTTTGATCATTTTTACCAATACAGTACAGTGTAGAAGCTGCCAATTACCTTCCCCTCCTTGTCAGGGAGACCCATGTACGTATCCCAGATCTGGAAGGAGTAACGCAGCTCAGGTAAACACACCTCCTGCACTTTAACTCCAAGGTCGGCCTCCAGACGCTCTGCCACCTGCAAACAAACAGTAATTATATATCAAAGCACAACTTGAGGCGCGAGCTAGATATCTGTATGCGTTATATGGGAGAGACGATGGAAGCGCACCTTCCTCTGGATGTCCAGCAGCTCTTTGCTGACAGGGTACGTGTAGGCAGAGCCGCCATCATGAGGAATGGAGAAGAACCGCAGCTTCTTCAGGTCAACCTCTGTGTCTAAGGACAGCCTGGTTGGACACATGGAAAGGATTAAATCACTGATTGAAGATTTAGAGCATCCTGTAGTTGGTTGGGGAGCACAACTGAGCTCAGCTAAATTATAGTGAAGTAAATCAGTCTTTCCTCCTTTAATCGACCAAAAATACTGTAGAGTGCTTAATTTTTTTTAACCAAACACAGAAATATGTTTTACTGGGAGTTAATTTATCAGTTTCAAAATAAAGTTCTTAGGGTCTTATTGCGTGATGCTACAGAGAGCAATAAATCCATTTCCAGAAAATTAAGTTAGAATTCAGTTAAACTGACAGCTGTAAGAACAGTTAACATGTTTCCTACTTGTGAGCGTTGCGTCCTGCCATGATCTTGAGCATGGGCAACAGGTCCTCAGCGTAGCGGCACATGGGACCAGAGCTGAGGTACTCCCCCTGCCTGCCAGAGGTGGGGGGGTACTGGTTCTCACAGGACACCACGCCTGAAACACAGAACCAGCTCTGAGCTCCACTTTTAACCCTTTCAGGGAAGCCTTAAACAGGATGTCCCTCAACCTCGCTCTCGTTTCTCTGCACCTGAAGGACAATCTGACCAAGGTTGTGGTCTAGGTTTTATGCAAAGATTTATTCAAACTTTTCGAAGTAGAGTTTGTCATTGATCATTTCTTGCTTTAAGCCTGTAAGGCGGCAATGTGAGAAGAAGATCTGTCGAGTTCTCCTTTACTTAAAGGGATACTGAATAAGAAATAACTGCTATCTAGCAGTGAATTCTGAGTATTTAACTAAAGAACACTAAACCCTAGTAGCTTACTGCCTCAAACACATACAGTGGAAACGGTAACCTCAACAATGCATATGTAACCATGTCATCCGATACTTAATGGAGTTTTAACTCAGCTGAAGAAGTTCATGATTTCTCAAATATTGCAGACTGTATTGGATCACTATTGAGATTTTTGCATAAGTGAAAATGAAAACATAAATAAATAAATAGAGTACGTAGGAATAGGAATAGGAACGTAGCTATAACTTTGCACCAAACACCAACTGTTATCAAAATGTATATATTGTTCTACAACAACATTCAGGTTAGGTTTGCAGGATCTACTGTTATGTTTTCTATAGTAACATAGAAATAAAGTCTAATTAAATGGAATGGAAAAAGTTTAGCTTCATGCCAATTTAGGTGGTACGGTTCACTTACTGGCCAAGGAGAAACATGGTAACTTCATGGTTTTCTTTCCTTACCCCCTTCCACCTGGAGAAGGCTTGCCTGATGTTTATACTTTTCTATTTTAAATGTTTTCAGATTCATTGTCTTCTAACTACTCTCTTGCTTTCTTGCGGATGTTTTCCAACAACCTCAATAAGTTGTTGCATTCATGCTGATTTTGCAGTCAGTTAAATAACATGCTGCAGTCAGTTTTGCACACCTCTGATGTTACTATTTTCAAGTATCAATTACTTTAAAAATGTCCATAGCTGTATATTGGTTATTTATTCTCCAGGTGCACAGTTTCATATTGTTAAAACACTTTCCAGCACAGTATTTAATTCTTTATATTTTAACTCTTCACTAATATGTCATTCTTATGAATTTTTTCTAAGGTTTATATTTGTGTGACCATTTTCGCATAATCTTTTTGCTGCTGTAAACATCAGGATTTCCCCGTTGTGGGCCAATAAAGAGATTTTCTTTTCAATGTAGAAGCTGTTCCTTGTGCTCCTGCTGCATATTAATGGTCCTGCATTGTGCTGTATTGTGTTAGCATCTCCAAATGATTTTCACCCCCACCTCTCAATCATACTGAACCACCAACCAGGGGAAAGACATTGTAATTCAGGTGTAAGTACTTTTATTCCTGGTGCCTGTACTTTCAAGATAGACTGTCATGACGCTTCGCAAACAGGTGACCAGTCTTATGTATAAACCAATATAAACTCCCTTGCTTATAAAAATGTATCAGATTATTAGTGGAGGTAATAACACACCAATAATAACACAAATGTTAAAAAAGGAGTTGTTACACAGCGTCCCTTTAAAATAAATCAATGCTGACATCCTAGAACTATCTCAAAATATGAAACTGTGACTGACAGATAAATCAGTGAGTTTAAACACGTCTCTGAAAGACATTAGTACAAATTCAGCAGATACTTTTCACCCATACGTTTTATTTAAAATCTAAATGGAAACAGGATGCAGCCATCATAAAACTATCAGGCAGCTTTTCTTACCTGGGGTGGTTTTATGGCCGAATACACCATTGAAGAAACAGGGCATTCTGATGCTGCCGCCGATGTCCGAGCCCACACCGATGACCGCTCCTGCTGCAGCCAGGATGCTGCCCTGTCCCCCTGAGGACGCAGGACAGCCCGTTTCTGTCTGTCCCTTAAATAGAAAACTAAAAAGCAATCTGTCTTTATGATTTCCTTGAGCTGACTCTGTAAATTGCCTCGAGACAACATGTAGGCGCTATATTAAGAAATTGAATTGAACAATATAATCGAATCATGTCTGGAGACACAGGAAGTGGCGCCCTAACGATGATCTAAAAGCTCCTCCACTGAGAAAAACAACAAGACGTTCTTTTAAGGCCGGCTGCTGACCTGAGCTGCCCCCGGGGATCCTCTCCAGGTCGTACGGGTTACACGTGATCCCGTACAGGTGGTTGTGAGACTCAAACCACATGCACAGCTCGCTGGTGTTGGTGACGCCCAGGGGTATAGCACCGGCTCTCTTTAGGTGAGCCACAGTGGGAGCGTCGACTGAGGACACGACTCCTTGCCTGGACATCAATCCTGTCGTCAGGGGCATGCCTGCAGGATGGACACACGTTAACAGCAGCCTCTACAAGGATATAGGCAATATGGAGGTGTGTGTGTTAAAAGTAGTAGTTACCTTGGAGGGAAAATGACTCTTTGACAGATAGAGGGACACCCAGAAAGGGAAGTCTGTCCTCCAGCACCTCCTCTCCTCCCGTCTCCTCCTCTATCAGCTTATCGACTTGAGCAGCCTCCTGGAGGGCAGCTGCAAACCTAAAGAAGAGATCATTCAATGGTTTTTTTGTTGTAGTTCCAGATATTAAGTCTATTACCTTCTCTTCAGAGTCTTCCATAAATAGAAAAAAAAAATGCATAGTTCAATATGTATTTTATCGTATTAAAGCCTGAAGCTTCAAAGTGTTATAAATAAGATTTTAAGTGACAAACTCAAAGTAGCCATAGAAGTAAAATAGGAGGGAAATAACATGCCTGTTTTATTCATTTAAACAATAATAGCTCTGACACTTGTAAATAAAGTCCCTGATTTGGTAAACTGAGCCAGTTTGAAGGCAAAACTCTATGTAGGCTGGAAACCAACACTGTAGATAACCCTGAACTCTGTGGTGAAACATGGCGGCCGCATCATCATACTGGTGGGTACTGGTGAGTGCTTTTCACCATCAGGAACAAGCAATGGGAAGACGAATGGAGCCAAGTACAGGAACATCCTGAAAGAACACCTTAATACTGGGACATAGGTTCACCTTATAGCAGGACAGCAGCCACAAACATACAGCCAGAGCTGAAATAAATTAATGTAGATCAAAGCATATTCTTCTGTTAGGATGGCCTAGTTCAAGCATAGATCTAAGTCCAGCTGAAATGATTTGTAAGTCTACATCTTTATAGATGCTTTATCACAGTCTGACTGAGCTTGAACAATTTTGATAATAAAAAGAGAATGTCAACTTATAGATCAAATAAGATAGCTTATTAACCTATAGAGTGATTATAACTACAACCTACTCATGCTTTTGTCTATTAATAAACCAAATGAAGAAGGGTTTCGACAAGCTATGTATGCAAAAATTAAAAGATCAGAAAAATCCACAGACAGTTGCAAAAGTCAAAAAGGAGTGAAGATAACATGCTTCTTCCTTACCTGTCTTTCACCACAGCATTAATGAACGGATTCACCTCCTGAGTCCTGTCTATGTAAGCCTGCACCACCTCCACACTGGACACCTGCAGATACACAACATTTAGACCAGAAAAGGGAGTTTATATGACCCTATTAAAGACAAACAAAGCACAAATCAATGCAAATTAATACCACAGCAACTATTAACTAGATTTGTTTTTATTCGCCTGTAAAAATGGATGAGGTATTCTGCTTCAAATATCTACAACACTTTATTATTTCCAGTTCTAACCAACAAATATTCAACAACAGTGGAGAAACTCTGTTTTCAGGTTAAGGTCTTCTGAGTTTTTATCTGCATTATCTGAAGTTTTTATCTGACCCCTGTGTGTCAAAATGACCTGTAAGTGAAGTTGTTGTTTTAACAGAAACTCTAGATCCCAGAGAATAAGGATGTTTCTGATGAGCAAACAGCAGCACAGGTGTGCTGCCACTCAACAGGTGCAGCCGTTACTGCTCTATAACCGGTCAACTAACTGCCGAGGCAATAGAAAAACGGCTGATTATTAGTAATATCAGCTCATATTTGCTTATGTACATTAAAAAGAGAGCTTATTGGTATAACAGTGTGTGTCCAGTCTGATTGAGTTGGGTACACACCTCTTTTCTCCGGATTTTCTTAGCGAGCTGCGTCGCTGACTGGAGCAGCAGGGGGTTAATGACGGGCGGCAGCTTCTTCTTCGCGGAGGCTGCGGTTGTCCTGAAAAACTGAAATATCGTGAAGAAGAAGGTGGCGACAGCTCTGAAGAGCCACGCCTGAGCCTTTTCCAGGAGGCTCAGAGCCATGTTTTCCACCGCGGTTTGGAGGACGGAAGGTCAACGGCTGCTCGAACGCTGAGAGCCGCTCCTGATGTGGAGCACCTTGTTCCTGCTAGTCAAGATGGCGCAGGTTAGAGAGAGTGAGAGAGAAACCGGATGTTTGGTGATAGATGTCAAAATAAGATAAAAAACAATAAATAAGGTCGAGTAGTAGTAATAATAATTGTATTATTGCAATGAAAAATATTATAACTTCTATTGTATTATTTTAAAAATGTATAATACATTTTCTATTGAATAGTCGTACATGTTTCTTATATAAAATACGAAAAATATGTTGTTTTTTTAATTATTATTATTATTATTATTATTATTATTATTATTATTATTATTATTATTATTATTATTATTATTATTGGAGTATATTTATAAACTTAAATGTAAACAAGGATAGAGATACGTTAAAAAAAGTATCTACTTATATTGAGAAACTGTTTTATTTTGAAAGTCCCTACCGGGATGTATTGTGAAGCATTACATCAATTAACTGAGGTACAGTAGCAAACGTCATCTTTAAGTTAAAAGTTTAGCCTTGAAGTAATGCTAATATTAAAGAAGTTTTGTTTCTTGTTTTTCAATCTTTTATTATAAAAATCAAGTTGAACTTTGGAAGATTGGACTTTCTTTAATAAACAATTAGGTACTTTTTAATTTCCAGTAAGCAGCAGCAATGTATCCAGTGCTGCTGCCTTAATGGTTGTTCCAGTGCTTTCAGTGTGTATGTTTTTCAGTTTTTTAACATTATATTAATATAACCATATATAATGACTAATACTGAAATAAAGCAGATTTTCTTTTTCTTTCTCTTTAAAAGTCATGGGCGCTTCTAGACAGGAGCCACAAAACAAATCAAACATATACTAAGTTATCACACCAGTATATTTATATGAATGCCAACAATAACAAACATTATAAAAACACTTTATAAAAACAAAAACATAATTTCATGTAAAGGTTTACTTTTTGTACATAAACCTTGCCCTTCTGAGGCTTTGTGAAGGCAAATCTGTGTTTTGCATGGTCGAATATGGTGTCACAAACCTAAAATAAAATAATGTACCAGTTTAATAATGAAGAAGCTATTAGTCAGCTTTATGGATTATTTTTTTATATATATAAAAACTATTTATCTTTTGAGAATGTGTTTATTTAAAAGCAACTATGCAAATTAACAAACACCTAGAAAAAGTACACTATATTATATTATTTTCCATGTGGATCCCAGATTGTTCATGGAGTCTTCTCAGTTCCAAGTTAGAATCAGAGGCCCTGAAGCCAGAAATGATTTGTAAAATTGGAAGTTTCCCATTAGGCACACAAAAAATCTATGCAAGAACCTATTTCTGTTGAGTCGCGTTTTATAGTATTGATTCTAAGTGTAATGTTAGGTTTATTCTTTATACATCATGTGCATTGTTACTTTGTTAGCCAGATTAGACAGAGTAGATGGCCTTCCTTCACATTGTGGATGTCACGATGTGTACAGAGGTCATCTAATCAAGACAGCCTTCGTGTCTTTAAGAGTAGCCTACACAGGATATGGGCACATCTTGGAGCCGGTCTGATAGAGGAGGGCTATCTGTATCTGTAACCCTGAAGCATAGAAGCAAGCTGCATGAAGTTCAAGACATGGATGGCGTGTCAGTTTCTGATACGGACAGCTAAGCATCCACATGATGCAACACAGACTCAGAAGGTATATAAGAAGCAGGAGATGACCTTAATCGGGGCTCAAACTTTGCCCGACGCTCGCGGACGTGATTTTTGAGACCACAGCTGTGCAAGCTCTAAGCATTTATCTCTGTCCTGTAACGACCTGATCTGGAATAAACTCTGTCATTTTTTACTCCTGTTTTTATGTTTTGCGAACATTAGTCAATTAGACTATAAACTTTGCACAGAAATGACCTAAGCTGTCTTTATTTCGATATAATAGTTGTAAACAGAAGAATATGTCACCTGTAAGCTCTGGAAAATACACCAACAGCTACAGAGAGAATTTTATGGAGAGAATTTTGTTTTAAAATAGATTTGTGTTTGTCAGCTGTTGTGCAATAGGATTCTAACAAAGCCAAAGAGTAAAATCTAAAGAAATAACATCTCTTAAATAATTTTATAACAAACTTTAATATGAATTATGTTATATTCATTCATGCTCCATATTTTGATTCAGAAATGTAGATTTTATCAATCCTTTATTATAGTTCTTCTAACAACTACCCTGAACTTAACAAAACTGTTTGTCTGTCTGCTTGTTTTAGTCAATTTCTACGTTTCAAAGTCAGGATAGTGATTGAATCTGATAAAACACTGATACCATTTTATATTCTGGGCATTTGTTGATTTTGGAGGAGGAATTCAATTCAACTCATTGCATTCAAAGTAACCTACAGGGTGATTAGAACACCTTTAAAAAAACCTGCTATAATCAAATCACAAAATCAAATATTATTACAGTGAGGTTCTGGGATCTTTCTTAGGAAGGTAGATGCTGTATTTTTTATTCACAGCAGTCAGAAGAAGTAACTTTATTCTTTTTTTTAAACAAAAATATCCAATTCTGTGACTCCTGACCCCAGTGATGTCTGATGGAAGCAGCTCCATAGAGGGAACAAGCCTCCTGCAGTAATTGTCAGTGGCCGCTAGAGGGAAGCATAGCTAAAGAAACTTCAACCCTTCTGTAATGAAAAAGAGGAATTAAGAGGAAGAGGAACCACTGCAATGCAGCTTGGCTTTAGTGGAGAATCCATACTGATTTAGCTGCATGACAGATCTGCTGATTATGCAGGTTTTACCTCTACTTCTTTCTTTCTTTCTTTCTTTCTTTCTTTCTTTCTTTCTTTCTTTCTTTCTTTCTTTCTTTCTTTCTTTCTTTCTTTCTTTCTTTCTTTCTTT